AGTAGTCTGTCCATAATTCATATGTTGGATGTGCATTCTATAGACAAAGCTATCTACCCTCCAACCCATTGCCATCAAGTCGATTCCAACTCACAGCGACCCGACAGGACAGAGTAGAACTACCCCATAGGGTTTCCAAGGCTGTAATCTTTACAGGAGCAGACTGCTACGTCTTTCTCCCTTGGAGCAGCAGGTGGGTTCAAGCTGCCCACGTTTTGGTTAGCAGCTGAGCACTTTAACCACTGTGCCATCAGGGCTCCTTCAGACAAAGCTATATAGTCCTGATTCTCCTGCTCGGAACCCTATCAGACTACAAATCTGCCTTTTCAAAAGATGTGTCTAAACAGCGTTTCTCATCTTTATAGAACACCAAGATGAAATGCCAATGCATCTGCAGATGCAGGGGCAGAAATTCTCCAAACAGAATAACATGTTCTAAAGTAAATATTCAAAAACAGTAAATAAATGATAGCCAATTACTATCTAGTGAGGAATCGAAGCTGTGTATTAGGAAATGGCTGGAGGTTTATTAATGCCACAGACAGTCGTCTGAGTCATCTGAGGCAAGTTCTCTGCCCCTAAACCAAATTTCAACCTATAGTGTGGCTAAGTGTTCAGTGAAAATGGAAGCATGCAATCTGATTTTCTCAGAGAGAGAATTAATAAGATAATGAAAGCAGGAAATGCACAAGATGTTAGGATATTTGGAAAAGCTGTAGTTGCTTCATGAATTATATCACAGCTACCTTGGACTTTAGTAAAGTGTGATTATGAAACCCGTATCATTCTTCCAGGAAACAGACAACAGAATTGGTGTTGCTATTCAGAGTAATACAGCTACAGGCATGCAGCATGCATCCGTTCCCTAAATATTTGCCCATTAAATGTACACACAAATAATATTCAGGAGGCTCTTCTATGGCTACTGTTACTGATTCAAACATCTTTTACTATTCGTACTATTTAAAAATAATCAGTCTCACATTATATCTCCTAGCAATTTTTTTCGATTGAGCTCATACAATATTCATAGCATTTATATATATTCCATAATAATATCCTATGAAACATGGTTAATACATTTCACAATCCTTCCTTCTCCAAGAATGAACTGTCTTTGAAATAGACAATTTCTTCATGCCCAACCAACTCGTGCAGGAATTTTGAGATACTAGGACTCGTAACTTCATGCTAATGTTTGTGGATCCTATCAGTAGAACAGACACAACGAATACATGACATATTAGCCACTACTCTCCCTTGTCAATCTCATAACAGATATCAATAATCAATCACTGGCACTCTTTCCCACTCTGCTTGGAATTTATCTTCAATGTCATTTTCAACATAGTGTTCTGCACAGCTCTTGTTAATCAGTTCGTTTATTCTTTAAAAAATATTACTGAGTTCTGCTATGTGCCAGGCACAGTACAAGGCAGACATATTGCAGGTAAAAGTAATCAAGACAGATATAGACCTTTCCAATAACCCTATTTCTTCTCCTTTTTTTTTTCTTCAGTGCCTCATAACCACTCAATTACGTTGTTTTCTCTCAGTCAGAGGAGAGAACGAGGCGTGCAGAGAAGACCGTATGGAGGGCATATTCTATTACAAGACCTTCTACATACAGTGGAGTCTCTGGGGGGTGTACGTGGGTAACGTGCTCAGGGTTTAGATTATCAATTGATTTGACACCCAAAATAAGGGTTATGTGCCATATCTGTTTTATTGCACAATTGAAATGAAAATAATTCTAAATAGCTAAGCGTCAGTTTTCCCTCCTGTCATAAAACGTGATGAAGTTCGATGGGTTCTGCAGTCCCTCCCTCCCAGCTTCACAAACCCATGATGTCTACTGAGTGGTGTAGGAGTTAGAGATGTAAATAGCTGAACATTGCTGTTGCTGCTGGTGTGTGCCCTCGACTTGATTCCGACTCATAGTGACCCTGTAGAACAGAGTAGAACTGCCCCATAGAGTTTTCTAGGTTATAATCTTTATGGGAGCAGATCGGCAGGTCTTTTCTCCCTCAGAGGTGCTGGGTGGGTTCAAATTGCTAACCTTTCATTTGGCAGCTGAGTGCTTAACCACTGTGCCACCAGGGCTCCTTTAGCTGAATGTTAGTTCTTAGAAAAAAAGAGGTGGTCTTATACAAGCAGCAGCACTTACTCATTTTAGTCTTCGATTCACAAGTCAGACTTTTTATAAGCCCAGGGGAGAAAGTTTTATGGGAATTTTAGTATGAATGAATTTTTCTCCCACTCCCCCAGAGAGGCAAGAATACAAGTGCTGTCTTTCCTTCTCAAGTCCTGGAAAGAACATAACATACGCCGTGGAACCAGAAACAAAGAACAGATGGCTGAGTATGTGACTTTTTCCACCACTGTCAAGCTTTTTGTCTTCTTTCTTCCTGATCTGCAAAACTATCTCTCTGAAATCTCTGTTCTTAATTCTGCCTGTTATCCACTCTGCTTTGTTCCCTGCCCTCCACCGGCTCTTCCTTCCTATAGAAGTGGGCAGGAATCCCTGGGTGGCACAAACAGTTCCACATTCGAGTACTAGCCCGAAGGTTGGTGGTTTGATCCCACACAAAGGCACCTTGGAAGACAAGCCTGGCAATTTGCTTCCAAAAAACCAGCCATTGAAAACCCTACGGAGCACAGTTCTACTCAGACACACATGGGGTCGCCATGAGTCACAATTGACTCAACAGCAATTAACAATAACAACACAGATGTGGACAAGCAAATTTCCCTGGTCTACCTCCTGCTCTTATTTTCAACTGGGCTGACTGCATTCTTGTGATAATAGGAACTTGTTGTCTCTGACAGTTATCTAACCAAAAAACGAAACCCGTTGCCGTCAAGTCCACTCCGACTCACAGTGACACTACAGGACACAGTAGAACTGCCGCATAGGGTTTCCAAGGCTGTAATCTTTACGGAAGCAGACTGCCACCTTTCTTCTGAGGAGCGGCTGGTGGGTTCCAACCACCAACCTTTCCATTAGCAGCTGAGTGTTTAAACACTGAGCCACCAGGGCTCCTTTCGACAGTTATCTACCCCGTTGGAAAAGCGCAAAGTGTAAGAACAGGAATTTGGAGGAGCAGGGACATAAAAGTCATTCATTAAAAATTAGGATGAGAATAAGCAACTGCAGAGAGACCTGGGGCAGGTCAGAGTGGGAAATGCGGGGTACTGCCTAAGGGGCACTGAGCTTCTGTTAAGGGTGATGGAAACATTTGGAAAAAGATACTGATAACCGTGACAACAGGGTGACTACAGTTAGTGCCACTGAATTGGACGTGTAAAAATGGCTGAAATGTTTTGTTACATATATTTCACCACAGTACAATTAAAAAAGCTTTTTTAATAATAAATTTGGATGTTGTTGTCACGTGCCATCGAGTCTGTTCCGACTCATAGCGACCCTACAGGATAGAGGAGAACTGCCCCAGAGGGTTTCCAAGAAGTGGCTGGTGGATTCGAACTGCCGACCTTTTGGCTAGCGGCTGAGCTCTTAACCACTACCCCATGAGGGCTCCATAAGTTAGGCTAAGAGTTAAAAAGATGTTACTGTCAATATCATGAAACTGCCTCCTAAGACTAATTCTCAGCCTGAGTAACTACATATTCTGCTCCGGTAAAACGTTGTCTAGTTGCCCTATTTTAAAAATCAGAAAAGAATCCCACTAAAAATTTGGTTTTACTGCCTCCAATGTAAAGACCCCCCCTTTAAGCCACCAAGAGGTAGACCGACCATGTATATTTAGGCTCTTGATGCTGACGGTGGGTTGTTTTGTTTTCTTTTTTAAGGTGATTTTGTGTCTGAGGCGTGTTCTCTAGAGCCTCACTGACTGTGCTTTTTGGTTTCGAGTTTTGAAAATTGGCTGGAACTACACAACAAAGACCAAAATGACAGGTCATTGTTCTCATTCGTTCTCAGGGATCTATTCCTGTTTTTCAGTGTATACAACTTTAAGGATTTTCTGTATCTTTCCTCTGAATATCACTTCATTTGTTCATTCTCCAAGGGGAGAGGGGGAAACAGTACCACAAAAATTACTACAAAACCTTTTTTTCTTTTTACCTTTTCTCCTTTTCGCTATACAATATGTGCCAGCTCTTACATAATTATAATATTTGACTAAGGAACATGAAAGAATACAACATTGTCAATTAGAACCAATTTTGTAACAATAAAGAACCATTAACATCATTACATTTATTAATTTAGTAGTAAAAAAGCCAATATTTTACAATTCCAACATAGAAGAGAATGCGGTTGTGTAAAAAGAAAAAAGAAAACCTTGTACTCTCTTTTGGGGTTCTCAGTAATTAAGAAGTAGAACTAAGATTTCGTCACTCATTGTATTCATTCAGCTATGTGTCAGGCATGATTCTCGGTGCTGCAGACACAGGGGGGACAAAACCAACTATTCGGTTGTCACTGACACCAAAGAAGCGCATTAAAAATGTCTTCCACAAGTTTCTACCAAAACCAAGAAACCAAAACCATTGCCGCTGAGTCAATTCCAACTCACAGTGACCCTACAGACAGAGTAGAACCGCCCCATAGGGTTTCCAAAGCTCTAAATCTTTACAGAAGCAGACTGCCACATCTTTCTCCCACGGAGCGGCTGGTGGGTTCGAACTGCCAACCTATCAGCAGTAGAACGCTTAACCACTGTGCCACCAGGGCTCCTGCAAGTTTCTACATCTAAGGTGAAATCTCTTTTATGGTCCATAAAGGCACCTTTCAAATGGCTCAGGGTGCAATAAAAAGAAACTCGTTGCTGTCGAGTCCATTCCGACTCATAGCAAACCTATAGGACAGAGTAGAACTGCCCTATAGGGTTTCCAAGGAGCACCTGGTGGATTTGAACAGCTGACCTTTTGGTTAGCCCCCATAGCTCTTAACCAGTATACCACCAGGTTTTCCAAGGGTGCAACAGCAAACAAAATCCAATAGCAAACAGAATTTAGAGTAATGGAAGTCTTACCATTAATAAATATATAGATTGTAGATTCTGTTCTCATCGTCTCTGAAGCAAGTTTAGATAAATATTTGCAGCTATAGAAGCCAGTATGGTTTGCCTGAGTTGCGTTCAAGGTCAAAGTGCTGCAGAACTGTTTGCCGTTCCTCCCACAGGCTGACTCGGTGATGCTCAGCTTTTTGCTTTCCTTACTCACCAGGTCCGGCAGAGACCACGAATGGGCTGCATTCCCCCTGTGACCACAGAGAAGAAAACAAAACACAGTTATGGCTGGAGACCAGGGCTCAGCACCAGTCGGCCCCCAGCTCATGGCGACCCCATGCACAACTGAACTTAACGTTACCTGGGCCAGCGACAACACAATGATAGGTTACGGATCAGACCCATTGTGATCCACAGGGTTTTCATTGGCTGATTTTCAGAATTGATCATCAGGCCTTTCTTCCTAGTCTGTCTTAGTTTGAAAGCTCCACTGAAACCTATTCAGCATCATAGCAACATGCAAGCCTCTAGCGACAGACTGTGCCCGAGATGCAGTGGCTGGGAATCGAACCGGGGTCTGCCACATGGAAGGTGACGATTCTACCACTGAACCACCGCTGCCCTCCATTCATTTCCTTACGAAGTGCTATTCTGAAGTCTTCTCCTAACTGTGGTGATCTTCCTCTTTACAGAAAAGCAGAACATTTAGAAAAACTTCTAAACTACACTCAGAATAAAGATGCAAAAAAGTTTGGGGATCCATGCCTCCACTTCCCTGAGGGAACTCATTCTCCCCCGCTCCGAAGACACCCTCCGTGTGAAGCTGGCTACAGGTGGTTTGCATTTTTCGGATCACAGGAGACCACGGAATTGCTCCTGCCTCTGCGAGGTGACCTTTCTACTCTGCCAGGGAATTATTTCACCTTGGAAAAAGCAACAGAGTTGTTCCCAAACCAACACAGTCGCTTACCTGCACTTCAGCTCCAGTGTCTGGCCCGCTTGCATGACGTGCTGGGTGCCTTTGAGATTCAGTTCAGGACCTTTTAATTTTGAACCTGAACTAGACCCTGGAAAACAAATTTTAAAAATAGGTCATTTGAAAATTGCCCTCTTAGCTTTTTTTTTTTTAAGTTATAGCTTTCCATAAAGGTGTATTTTCCTCTTTAATCTACTCACATACGCAAAAAGACACATCTAACACAAATTTTGCTTACTTCCTGAGTTTTTCTAGTTCAAGCCTTATTCACAAATATTTATACAGCCCTTTGCACTAAGTGACCAAAAGAATATCCAAAAACCTATTTATCTAGAATGTTAATAGATTCATACATGGTTCAAAATGCAACCCTATTAAGACTATGAAGTAATTTATTAAAAACTCTCAGGATTAAACATTACTGTTATTGCTGGGTACCGTCAGGTTGATTTCAACTCATAGAGGCCCCATGTGATAGAGCAGAGCTGCCCCATAGTGTCTTCTAGGCTAATCTTCATGGGAGCAGATCACTAGGCCTTCGCCCACAGAGTCGCTGGGTGGGTTCAAACTGCCAACCTTTCAGTTAGTAGCTGAGCACTTAACCATTGTGCCATAAAAACTCTCAGGATTATGTTAGCTTCATCCAAAACATATTTGTAATCTGTTTCTACCAGCGTGAATCATCTGGTTATACAGGCCTGTCTCACCTTTGTTGTCCTGGGTTCTAGACCCAGCTCAGCCATTAATTGAGCCATGAGATTTTGGTTGATTCATTTCCCTTACAAAACTAGTTTCCTTATCTGGAAAGCTAATTATAGAATCACCACATGCTGAATCAAAATCTGGTTTTGAAGCCATTTGGTTTGTCTTACATCATCTATGAGTTCCCTCTATAATGGCATAGTGAAAAGGGAACTCCCGCTCTTAATGTGGCATCTGATAAGCACATCTCATGGAGGTTGCTGTGAACCAATGCAATAAGCTACTTGAGGGTGCTTTAAATCTATAAATCTCCATACAACACAACAATGACACTCATCCTAGTGACAAGCTGGGTGACCCTGGACAAGTCACCTCTCTTTCTAGAGCACCATTCTCTTATTGACAAAACGAGGGATTGGACTAGATGACGTTTTATCTCTGACCTTCCAATTCTGACCTCTCAATCCCACAATTCTTTGAGCTATAGGTGCTATAGAGGTTGACCCTCCCCTGATGCTCTCACTGACTAATCAGGGTCTCTAGCTCCATCTCTTCTCCCCATCCTCCACCCCCTTCACTCTTCCCCTTCTTCTTCTCCCTCCTCCTCCTCTTCCTGCTGCTGCTGTTTTGGGTGCCTGTCCATTTCGATTCCAACTCATAGCAACCCCATGTGACAGAGTAGAACTGCTCCATAGGGTTTTCTAGGCTGTTCTCTTTATGGTTTGAACCCACCCTCGTAAAGATTTCAGCCTAGGAAGCCCTATGCGGAAGCTCTACTCTGTCATATAGGATCGCTATGAGTCAGAATCCACTCGAAGACACACAACTACAATCTTTACGGGAGCAGATTGCCAGCTCTTTCTCCCATGGACCCACTGGATGGGTTCCAACTGCTGACCTTCTAGTAAGCAGCCAAGTGCTTAACCGTTGCGCCACCAGGGCACGGGGTAAGCGCTCAAGATCTCTGATATCTAGCAGAATCACTTCACTCCTCCCCCTTCTGTCAGAAGAATACGTTGTTGGATATGTAATTGCAAAAATATTAAATTAGCAAAGTATGCTTTTCTGATGTTGCTGATGATATAAATCAATGTTTTAAAAGTCACTTTTATAAACTCTAGGTCCTGGTATCCAGTTACTACTAGAGAAAATGGCTCCATACAACTAGTCTAAATTAAAGTCATTGTTTCATACAGATCCAACTGGTCTATCAAGTAACCATCCAGGTACCTAGGGATGTGTTTTGCCCTTAACTTTATGAGTTTCCTGAAGCAACGTGAAGCTCAGAATTAGTGATCCATGGGAACACTACCAGTAACCAGTTGTGTGGAGTCGAATCTGACTCATGGTAACCCCACGTGTGTCACAGTAGAACTGCACTCCATAGGGTTTTCAAATGGCTGATTTTTCAGAAGTAGGTCACTAGGCCTTTCTTTCAAGGTGCCTCCGGGTGGACTTGAACCTCCAATCTTTGGGTTACCAGCCAGACACGTTAACTGCTTATACCACCCAGGGACTCCCTGGGAACACTAGGTTTTTCTAAACCCACAGCCAACGATTGATAACACCTGCCCTGAAAAACTCCCAGGTCAGAATAATTTCTGTCCTTCTTTATGGCATTGAACTCTGGGGATTTAACTGAACAAGTGTCCATGTGCTGGAGAAGATTTGGCAAAGCTTCCTGTGAAAATTCTGGCATTACTGGAGATATCTCTGTGATCTGTGTGTCAGTGATGAGCTTTCCTACCTAGGAAAGGCCATAGGTAAGAAGTTTCTATATCCATGATAAGAAGTGAATCCCACTGCCTGCTATTTTGGTTTCCAAATCTTGACAAAGAATCTTTCTTTATCAGCAACCTAGGATAACAGTACTCCAGACCCTCATCCAAGAGAACCTCTAACCTCAAACCAAAACCAAACCCATCGAACTGACTCCCTAGAATTGATTCTGACTCATAGCAACCCCAAGTGACAGAGTAGAACTGTCCCATAGGGCTTCCTAGGCTGTAATCTTTATGGGAGCAGATAGACGGGTCTTCCTCCCCCAGAGCCGCTTGGTGAGTTCAAACTGCTGACCTTTCAGTTAGCAGCTGAGTGCTTAACCACTGCGCCACCAGGGCTCCTCTAACCTCTTAAGAGCAATGAAAAGCCCAGCTGAGAGAAGGGCTGTATGTAGAACCCAACGGGTTCCTGCCTGGTTGACTTCGACTCATGGCAACCCCATGTATATCAGAGTAGAACTCCACTCTATAGGGTTTTCAATGGCTGGTGTTTTTTTTTTTTTTCCTGGCTGATATTTTTAGAAGTAGATTGCCAGGCCTTTCTTCTGACATGAACTCGAACGTCAAACCCTTCAGTTAGCAACCGAGTGCGTTAACCGTTTGTACCACCCAGGGACTCCACTGTATGTAGAAAGTCCCTTAAAGAATAAGCCCTCCACAGATTCTTCTCTGCACGCCCCATTCTGTCCTCTGACTGAGAGAAAACAACAGAATTGAGTGGTTATAAGACACTGCAAAAGAAAAGAAGAAATAGGGTTATTGGTAAGTTTAGGAAAAAATGCTAAGAAAAATATTTTGCTGTATAATTTGTCTCCACTGACATTAATTAATTTTGCACTTGGAATGAGGAAGCTAGATAAAAGTAGTGGCTTCAAACAAAGGAAAAAAGAAGTCTAAGGATACTGAACTGTGTTTCCAAGAAACTTGACACTTTGAGAACATCACTATTCTTTAGTCAATAGGAAACTAGAATCTCATAAAGATTAATGGAGGTGACAAGACTATAGTTCTGCAGGAAAGCTAGTGGGGAAAAAAGGAAGTAAAATATCTATTCCTTAAATACTTTGAAATCATGTCATTAAGCATTAAAATATTTCTTTGAGTCAGTTTAATGTCCCTACCTGAATAATGACGATTCAACTAACAGTTCTAGAGCATCACAGACATCAGACACTTTTTCCATCTTGTGGTTGTTGGGTGCCATCGAGTCAATTCCAACTTATAGCAACCCCATGTGACAGAGCAGAACTGCTCCACAAGGTTTCCTAGGCTGTAATCTTTATGGAAGCAGATCGACAGGTCTTTCTCCTATGGACTGGCTGAGAGGGTTTGAACGGCCAACTTTTCAGTTGGACCTGAGCTCTTAAGAGTGTACATAAAACATATACGTGGACATCTGAACATCTACATGGACTCAGCTCATTGAGTCACACTGTCTGCTTAGATAATAAATCCACATGACATTCCATTTCCAAGGGTGGAGCTCTTATAACTTAGCGATGATCACCCCACTCAGATGGGGATCAAAATTTTCCACTGTTTTGTCACAGTAGCCTAGAAATCTGGTTGAAAAGAACTGGTTTGTCCCCCAGTGAACTAGGTGGGGTCTGTGAGCTATTGTTTTCATCAAAGTCAGCTGCAATCAGGAGGGACACACAGGTCTCCTTATCAGAAAAAATTAGTATTTAATCAAGGCACAACAAAAAACTCAACTCAGACCACAGAAATGGGCTTTATCACGCACTTCTTCGTTAGAAAAACTATTAAGATCAGGAAGTGTGGGCCAAGAGCCTTAAAAAACCAACATGTGAACGTTGACTTCTTATTGAATGCTGACACTTCATATTGTTCTCATCTGAATCAGATTTTTTTCATTGTTTTCTTGTTCTGTATTATCTGGTGGGTAGAAAGAGGCTGGAAGTTTATGACTCTTTGACAAAAACCCCTTCTCTCCCCACATGCCAAACCTCAGGTAGAAAACCTGTTCTAAAATGCTACCCCTCCACTCTCTCACCTTAATTTCATCAGCAAGATTGAATACTTTCTTTGATGTCAGCAGGAAGAATGAATTTCCAAGTAAAATATGGGTTCATTTTGCAAACAAATCCGAAACCCAAATGATTGAGGTTTTTTCTCCAAGCTCTTCAATGCTACTCTGAGGGATACTACAGAGCAGACTCCCACTAGAGTCCATTATGAACCAGAAAGCCTTGCCAAGCACTTACGTAAAGTCTGACTAAAAGTATCTTTAGAAAACTTTGTCATTTTTATGGATTGAAGTAAAACAGTGTTCTTGTGAGTTGAAGGCAGCTTCAAGACAAGTCCCCTAGATCCTCCTCTTACCAGATGCCACTTCTAGCCCCTATTATAGAAATCAGAGGGTAAGAGAGGGGCCTTATTCAAACGGAAATCATGACCCATGGCCATTTTTCCAGTTTTGTGTTAGAGTAATTCATCTCCCAGCTCTGTTACTAACAAGCTCTGTGGTGGCCACTTTGAGCCTCAGATTTCCCATCTGTCACAGGAGAGGGATGGATTTTGATTTCTATCATCCCTCCCAGCTTAAAAATTCTATGAGTCTGACATCCCGGTAATTGAAAAAAAATGT